CCTTGTTCTAATATGATTAGTAGCAATTAACTTTTGTTCAAGTTTCTCTCGTACAAAGTGACAATCCGCTTCTATATGCTTAATCCTCTCGTGAAAGTCTGGATTGTTTGCTATATGTATGGCTGCTTGGTTGTCACACCACAAGTCCATAGTCCTTTGGTTACCGAACCCAATTTCTCTAAGAAGATGTCTTGTCCATATGAGCTCACACGTAACTTCTGTCATAGCCCGATACTCAGACTCTACGTTTGACCTAGCTACAACCGGTTGCTTCTTACTTTTCCAAGAAATAAGATTTCCTCTAACAAAAACACAAAACCCAGTCACAGACCGTCTATCCACAGAGGATCCTGCCCAATTTGCATCTGAAAAACCTTCTACCTTATGATGACCATGATCACTGTAAAGAATCCCACGTCCAAGGGCTCCCTTTAGATACTTCAAAATATGGAGGACTGCATCCCAATGAGATGTCCTAGGATGACATAAACTGACTCTTCACACTCACTGAAAAAGCAATATCTGGACGGGTTACTGTAAGCTAGTTTAACTTTCCAACTATCCGTCTGTACCTTTCTAGATCACCAAACATCTCTCCATCCTCAGCATTCAATCTCACATTAGGAACCATAGGAGTGTCACAAGGCTTAGCCTCACTTAGACCCATTTCAGTCAACACATTTAACACATACTTGCGTTGAGAGAGAAAAATCCATTTCTTACTCCGAGAAACCTCGACTCCCAGATACCTTAAAGTGCTCAAGTCTTTTGTGTGAAATTTGGAAGCCAAAAAGTTTTTCAAAGTCTTAATGCCAACATCATCATTGTCAGTGATTACAATGTCATCAACATAAACAACCAAAAGAATGATGCCAGAACTAGATTGCTTATAAAAGACAAAGTAATCATAGGCACTCCTATGTAAACCAAACTAAGTCACCACTTCGCTAAACCTCCCAAACCACGCTCGTGGAGATTGCTTTAAGCCATATAAAGATTTCCTCAGTTTGCATACCTTTCTTGCTCTCCCTGAGCAACAAACCCTAGAGGTTGCTCTATGTAAACATTTTCAGGAAGATTACCATGTAAAAAGACATTTTTTACATCAAGTTGGTGAAGATGCCAACAATATGAAGCTGCAAGAGAGATGAATAGTTGGACAGAGGTCATTTTAGCCACTGGCTCAAAATAATCAATACCATACGTCTGGGCATAACTTTTAGTAACCAATCGAGCTTTCAACCGAGCCATAGTCCCATCGGGATTAGCCTTCACTATGAAAACCCATTTGCACCCAATAGCCTTTCTATTTTCAGGCAACTCCATTAGAACCCATGTATCATTATGTTCTAGAGCCAACATCTCTTCTTCCATAGCCCTTCGCCACCCATCATGATTAATTGCTTCAGACACAGAGTTGGGAACAGAAACAGAGTCTAAAGAGGGAATAAAAGACTTGGAAGATGAAGACAAAGAGTGATATGAAACAAATGAGGAGATAAGATAGGTACAAGAGCGCTTACCTTTACGAATAGCAATGGGAAGATCATGATCATGGTCAGAGGAAGAAGGAACCGGATCTGAGGGCGAGGCAGTCGATAGAGGCAGTGGATCAAATGTTGCTGTAGGTGTTTCATGGGGCTGGTGACCCTGCGAGAGTATACCTGGGTGATAGGAGGACGAGATGGTAGAGGACTATGATGGGTAATGTTGTAAACAAGAAGATCATCAGGGGGTGCTTCAAAAGAAGTAGATGAAGTGGAGGACTCAACATATGGAGTGGTTTCAAAAAAGGAAACATCAGCTAAGATAAGGTACTTACCTAGGACAAGAGAAAAACAGCGATAACCCTTCTGATATCGGGAATAACCCAAGAATATGCACTTGAGGGACCTAGGTTCAAATTTGGATACATGAGGTCTAACATCTTGGACAAAGCACGTGCACCCAAACACTTTAGAAGGAAGAGAGAATAAAGGCTGTGATGGAAAAAGGATAGAGAACGGGATTTGATCACCCAAAATAGAAGAAGGCATGTGATTGATCAAGTGACATGTTGTAGAGATAGCATCTGCCCAAAATTCTATAGACTTTCATGTGAAAAAGGAGAGTACAAGCAACTTCTAATAAATGACGATTTTTGCGTTCAACAACTCCATTTTGCTGAGGTGTATAAACACATGGTGACTGATGAATAATACCTCTAGTAGATAGAAAGGAGAAGAAAGGGGCAGAAACGTATTCTTTGGCATTATCATTTCTGAGAATTTTAATAGATGAAGTAAATTGATTTTGTATTTCAGCATAAAAGGTACAAAATATGCAGAACAATTTAGAGTGATTTTTCATAAAGTACAACCAAGTTACACGTGAAAAATTATCTACAAAAATAACAAAATATCGATATCCAGACTTAGACAACACTGGGCAAGAACCCCAAACATTAGAGTGTATAACATCAAAAGGGGCTGTGGCTCTTTTGTTTATCCTAGGGCTAGAGGACACTCCATGGTGTTTTCCAAACTTACACGCCTCACACTCAAGGTGTGACATTGACCCTACACTAGGACACAACCTTTTCAAAATGGAAAGGGGAGGATGACCAAGGCGACCATGTAATATGGGTAGAGATGAATCACTGGTACACGCAACAGGTTGAGAGACAGGAGTGGAGACATCATCGAGCATATACAGGCCACCTGATACACGACCCCTACCAATAATCTGTCTCGTCCCAAGATCCTGAAATATACAATGAGTAGGAAAAAAGTAAACACCACAATTGAATGCATTAGTAATTTGACTAACTGATAAGATTAAAGAGAAAATGAGGAAGACACAAGACAGAGGAAAGAGACATAGATTTGTTGAGATGGGCAGTATCACATCCAATAATAGGTGCAGTAGACCTGTTAGCTAAGGTAATTGAAGACAAATTGGGAGAAGGTGTAAATGAGGAGAGAATACCTGTATCGCCTGTCATATGGTGGGTAGCACCAGAATCAATGACCCAGTTACTACTAGAAGTGGACAAACAGACTGTAGGATTACCTAACTGGGTTAATGTAGTGGTAGTCGATGGGATGGATGACTGGGAGCAAGAATTCTGAGTGAGACGAACATATTTTGCTGTAGAGATAGTAACCTGTGATGGGGTGGGTAAGAGACCATCTTGAGTTACAACATGAGCAAACTTCTGAGTGTCTTGCATATTCAGGGGCTTGCCATGGAGCTTCCAACAATTTTTTTTTTTTACGTGACTCTCAGTACCACAGTGAAAGCAAGTACGAGGGCCATTACCACGATTGTTCCTAGTATCACGACTTGTCCCTTTGTTACCTTTGCCATCACCAGATTTCATGCTAGCTAGGGCCGCATGATCAACATTAGGATCTTTAAGGGTTTCTTTGTCCTTAGACACTCCTCGATCTTCCCCCTTACTAATTTTGAGAAGTCGAGCAAAGACATCCGTAAGAGAGGGAAGTGTCTCACCGGTAAGAAGTTGTGTACGAGCTATCTCATATTCCGGTCTCAACCCAACCAGAAAACATTGCACTACCACTTGTTCTTCTTGTGCTTGCATCATCTTCACATCAGTAGGGACAGGAAACATAACCCTTTTTTCTTCAAAGGCTTGTTTTATCTCTGTATAATATTCGAGCAACGTCTTCTCTTGCATATTTGCTCGATAGATCTTCAATAACAATTCATGGGCATGAGACAGGTCTTGTTTACTACAAGAACTCTAGATATCCATAACCCTTGACTGTATCACAGTGACCAATCACATCATCCACGGACGCAAGAGTGTTCTGAATATTGATGAAGAGCTTATCGTTTCCATGAGCCACTTCTCGAGTTTTACTACATCTTCTGTTTCCTAGGTGGATCCTCGATTAATGGTCTCCCATATCAATGCTAGACCACATATCGTAGGATTATTCGCTTCCATTGAATATAATTCTTTTTTCCCAGTAATTTTCGATCAGTAATTTTGGTGGAGGAAGTAACAATTTCAGTCACCATCTTCTTACCATCCGTTGCCATACTGTCCAGCAAAGAACTTGTAACTCCACAGATTCACAACAATCCTAACTCCAAACAACCCAAGCAAACACAACAACTCCATCGATTCACAACAATCTGAACACCAAACAACTCAAGCAAGTACAACAACTCAAACCACTAGGATTCAGAACAACTCTGGTATCACATTTTCAACTCCAAGCCAACACAAAGCATTCCCATTTTCACACAAACACAGAGCCATATTTCAAACAAAAACCATGCAAAACAAAAAAAAAATTTGTGCACCAAACCAACAATCACAAAAGAGAGATTTATTGCACCAAACCAAAACTCAAAATTAGCACTTGCCGGAAAAAAAAGGAAAACAATGAAGAACAGAGTCAGACATCGCCGGAAAACAGAAACACGTCGTCGGAAAACAGACACAGAGGTCAGACGTCGCCGGAAAACAGAGGGAAGAGGTCAGACGTCACTGTAAACAGAGGGAAGGGGTCAGACGTCGCTAGAAAACACAGGGAAGCGGTTAGACGTCGCTGGAAAACCCAAGGAAGAAGTCAGCACTCGTCGGAAAACTGAATCACGCAAATGGGTTTAGGGTTTACGCGTTTCAAGCTCTGATACCATGTTATTCTCTCTATTTCACTTAAATGTCAACAGTACACCCTAACTCAAATATATACACACTTAATAATTACAAATATACCCTTTACCCTTTACACTATATATATACACATAGTTTCCAATTATAATAAATCCTACACTGCACCAGTTTGCTGGGTAATACATGCTAATTGTTATGCATTCTCTTTTAAATTTCATTACCATTTCCGCTATTTTTCCTTCTTATGTATATATTAAACTTTGCTACTTAAGGTCGTCACTTATTACCCAACCTGCCATCAGTTGTGAGTTAAGATTTTTACTTTCTTGCCTTAATGGATCTAATGTTACAACTTCTATTTATATAATTCAGGGGCGCATGCTCATAGCAGGTCCACGCTGGAGGTTCCAATCTTTTGGTTCATTCATGGGGATCCATTATTGGTTGATAAACATTATCAGGCCAGAGCACTTTCTGACATGGTTATTGTTGTCCAGTCAGAGGCATCATCCTGGGAAAGCCATCTCCAGTGTAATGGGCAATCACTTCTATGGGATCTAAGGTTAGAAATTTGTGTTCTGTGTTGGGTTGTGAATTGGTTCATTCTCAGTGGTGCTACTATAGTTTAGACTTGTCTCAAATTCTTTTTGAAATAGCCAGAACATCTGGAGTTGGTGTGTTCAATTAGAGTGATAAACTGGAATTATGAGATATCTGTCTCACTCTACTGGGTTGTGTGGAACTTAATCAACGACCAATAGTGGGAAAGGAAATGGTATTATTTTTGTTGGATTAAGAACTAATAACTTATTTTTTGCTAGAATGGGGAAAGGTCTGTCTTCATACTCACTTGCTGCCATGTTAACTTGCATTGTTTTAACTTTGACAGCAACAAGCCACCGTCTTTAAATTTGGATCAATGTGATCTTTGGATGTCATGGGTTATTAATAATTAGTGGAATGTGGAAGATTGTCTGTAGCAATTGCTGTGAGCCTCCGTAATTTGTTTGTCTAGAGGGAATTTCTTTGTAGAAGATGTAAATTCATTATTTGAGCACAACTTGTTTGTCAGGTATACTATATATTTGGTTACACGTTATTTGAGATGACCAATAGCCTTTTTGTTCTTGTCAATTGTGAAATCCATGTAAATTTGGCCCCAGTTACGGCAAATGCTGGATTTTCTGTTTGGTAAATTTATTCTTGGTTTCTCTGACCATCAAATATGAACCAAATAAAGAGGTTATATTACTCAAGAAAGCAGTTGGTGAAAGATACCCTTTGTTTGTTAAGAAAAATCGCGCAGAAGACTGCCCAGTCTGGATGCAATCATATTGGTTAAATTCTTTTCTTTCTGCTCATTCAGAATGCCCATAAAAGCTGCATTGGCTGCTGTTTCTGAACATATGGCTGGTTTGCTTCCCCTTCATCTAGTCTACAGCCATGCCCATGAAACTGCAATTGAGGTATGCTCTAGTAGAACGTGGTACATTTTATAGTAAACTATTGAAGAAGTACATACCTGCCATTTGTTTTCTACTTTTAATGGTAAAGTGTGAAAGGTTAAAAGCAGTCTGGATATTTGTAAGAAGTATTGACGATACATGTACTAGTATAATTAGTCTGTTGCTTGCATTTTTGCAGGACTGGATTTGGTCAGTTGGATGCAACCCATTTTCCATTACTTCTCAAGGCTGGCACATATCACAGTTTCAATCTGATACTATTGCTCGGAGTTATATCATCACAACTCTTGATGAATCAATACAAGTGGTGAATTCAGCCATTCATCTACTACTGATGGAGCGTACATGTATCCTTTGTACTATTTTGGCCTATGAATAACTGGAATAATATTGTATATAAATATGCACATACATGCAAACATTTGTCATACTTGGATATAACCATGTGGGTTGCTTGCATATATACGTTAAACTTTTGGCTAAAGACATACATGCAAATACATATATTTGATTTATATTTTACTTGAAAGTTAATATAAGATTAGGCTACAATTTGGAAGTGCCACAAGATGCACCATACTCAGTGGTCATCCATCAAATAAGGCAGTGGTACCAAATACCTGGCTATCAGCATGTGCAGAACTCATGTATTTACTGTTTTCCCATTTAATTCATTTATGGAGACAAGACTGTCAGTTTTAAGTTAAGAAAGCTGAAATCTAATAATTCTTTTGTTAATGATTGTTGGCTTGTTCAATCAAATATTGCTTCTAGATTGTATTTTGTCATATATTCTCTGTTGCTGTTGGAACTTGGGTTTCTGTTGATGTAGACTTAACCAAAACCAGCGGAAAAAACCTATAAATTCTTTCAGTCTCAGGAGCATGAGCTGGTGAACAAGTATAATTATGTAGTTAGCTTGTGGAGAAGAGTGAGCTCACTTTCCTACTATCTAGCTTATGGGAATAATAATTCATTTTATTAAAGGACGTTTTAAATAAACAGTTAGCTAATATCACTTTTTATTTTCAGATTTCAACTGTTAGTGGAGAGTTGCGGTATGTGGATGCCTTGAGACTGCTATATACCTTGGAGGACGCATCAAAACAGTAAGACACTTATGACTATCATTCATTGTGTACAGGGGTTTTTGAATATTTTTATTGGAAATTTACAGCGGTTACATTAAACTCAAGCTGAGGTCTTGGAATTGATTGTTTGACCATAATGAAGAACAATGATATTAAGAAGTACTCATCTGTTGTTTTTATCTGGCTTTCCTGCTTGTCATTAACTGTTTTGGTTTAATGCAAAATTTGGCAAGCTATTGATTTGCAAGGTTGTACAGAAACATGGCTTATCCCAGGAGTTTCATTTCTGATGCAGGTTTGTCAATCAAGTTAATGCAACTATAGCCCTTTTCCACCCAATTCACTGCACAAAAGAGAGGAAAGTACATGTGGTGTTTGATGTAACAACGATTCCTGCATTCGTAGTTGTTCTGGGTATTCTCTTTATTGTGTTAAAGCCAAGACGATCAAAGCCTAAGATTAATTGAGACTAATTGAGATCATGGTTACAAAGTGTTCGTGTTGGTCAGTGCATGGCGTTTTGGAGATATCTTTGAGGCGAATGACATCACATTTTTATGCCCAATAGTTATATAGGTTATACTTGAATTGACTTTACTTCCGTTCTGTCAGGGCAGCATAGCTTTATTGAAATGATAGTTGATGAGAGAGATAATAGGAATTAGAATGCAGTCACAATGACCAGGCCAAGGTCACAAGTATTATTTTAGGCTTCATGTATTGTACTTGTTAACATGGTTGACCAGAAATCTTCCCATGTGTCTGAAGTTTTATTAGTTCTTGTTCATCCCTTGTAACCTAGCTTGGCCGGAAGTGCTAGAAATGCAACAGATCTATCTCATCTCTTCAATGGACTTGTAAATTCTTTTTGTTTGCTGACAATGTAACAATACTGAAAATTTTGCTGTGGTACATTGTATAATAGGTCTTTAGCCTCTTCAATGGCGTTGTTTCCTGTGACATTTCTTATTGAAATGGCTTGCAATTAATTTAGATAAATGAAATACAAATTGAAGAGGAAACTTCATTCAAATCAACAATAGCTCGGTTTAAATTAATATACCATAGACTGTGTCCTTCAAATGCCTGGCCCTTGGTTTTGAAAGGGATGAACCTCACAGATATAGCAGCAACAACAATTACAATCTCAAAGAGAATGACAGCAGCTGTTTGATGGCAACTGCTACAAGAGGGCCTATCATACCACCGATTCTTCCCACAGCGATTGCCACTCCAGCTACGGTTGACCTTACAGAAGTTGGATATATCTATACACAACATAGACAAATTGAAGACTTTCAGAAGTGCAAGATATTACCTTCGGGATAAAAATACAGGCGATTGTGAAAGCTCCGAAGGCACACATGCGAGCCCCTAATAATAAACCTATTGTTACAATTTTTAATTGATGCATAACCAATGGTATGAGGAAAATCAGAAGTAAGATGAACAAAACCATCATTGAAAATTTTCGACCAACTCTGTCCACAAGTATTGCAGCTAAAACAAGCCTGGGAAGCTCTGGAAGTAATAATTTTCAGCCACATGTTACTTGAATTACTCTGGAAAAGAAGGAACTGAAACGAAAAAAGAGAGATCGGTGATGTAGTACCTCCCAAACTAGCCAGAAACACATCAGTGTAGAGACTAGAATCATTCACAGCTTTGGAAAGCTTCGCAGTTGAGCCACATTTAGTTTGCATACTACTTAGCTTGGAGGTCAGCAGTATGATTCCATAATATGTGAATGAATTTTCGAAGAATAAAGTCCATAGGAGAAAGGTTGTTCTAAGTTCTAACTAATGTTGATGAGAAAAGTGTGAAAAACGAAGAGAAGCCTGATTTCATTTTCGTGGTCGAGGAGAGTAGAGGGATGTGATTTTCAGGAACAACTTGTTCATCAGGTGGTGTGGTTTTGTCAGACACAAATATTCCATCTGGGAGGTGTGTTTTATTGAATTGAGAAATCTTCTCTAGAAGATGAAGAACATCATTTGTTCTTCCTTTCACACTTATATACCTTGGCGATTCTGGAACAATGCCATAAAAGCGAAGCACAACAAATGATGGAAGAGAGGACAATGCCAGTAGCCACTTCCAATTCAATCTTTTCAAGACAATCTGCAATACAACTGACTTGATTAAACTCCCGCTGGAAACTCCATTCTTTGCTTGCTCATCGCTAACAAGCCAACTGTTCAAAGCAACTAAAAAAGAAAAAATAAGATAATCTGGCAATTCGCTGAAGTAAACGTACCCAAGCAAGTCCAGCCTCAGATATTGACCTGAGCATCCAGAAAGACGAGTAAATAACCATCCGCATGCCTCTCTTTGGAGCAGGAACAAACTGTTGATCAAGATGATATTATGCTGGAAACTCATGAAATTAGTCACATTTTGGAGTTTGGAGCTGCAAGTTTGGCGGCAAAAGTTTGAAGTTCAACTGCTGCTGTTTTTGGTTTTGTTCAAAGTAATGATATTTTGCTTGAAACAAATATTTTTGATTGTTGGTCTGGAGCCGGAAACTGGCGGCAAAAGGGCAGAATTTGAAGTTGTGAAGCTTGTCTGGAGCAGTTCACCGTAGTTGGTTCGTAGGCATTCTGAAGTGATAGTTTTTGATGAATTCAGCATACATTAGGCTTCCTACTTTATATTAACTTAATGTGATGTAATTAGAGTTCCTAAGGATGTATGGTTAAGATGTTTTGGATTAAAATATGTTTTATGTTAGGTATAACAGTAGGTCTGCAATGTATAAACTTTGTTGTATTTGTTGAATGCATATGAAATAGACAAGTGCTTCTTCTCTCTTATCTTTTCCTTCCTTTTTTATCTCCCATATAACTATCCTTACATGCTCCAATAACTAACAACTGGTATCAGAGCTCCATTTGATCTCAAGGGGCCTGCAAAAACCTTCATTTCGGCAATCACTCAGTCAATCCTCACCACACCAAAAACCAGACTTCATGGCAACAAGTTCAGCCTCACTCCTACCTCCAACCTTCAATGGAGAACAGTACCATATGTGGGCTGTTAAGATGAAGGCTTATTTAAGAGGTTAGAGGCTATGGCAGTACATAGAAGAAAAGAAGCAGTCGCCACAGTTGGGGCCAAATCCAACCTTGAATCAACTAAGAATCCATGAAAATGAGGTTGCTAAAGCTCCAAGAGCTCTATCACATATACATGCAGCTGTTACGGATCAAGTCTTCACAAGGATAATGGCTTGTGAGACAGCAAAGGAAGCTTGGGACAAGCTTAAGGAAGAGTTTGGAGGAAGTAGCCAAACCAAAAATATGCAAGTCTTGAACCTAAGAAGAGAGTTTGAGACATTGAAAATGCAAGAAGCTGAAGTGGTTAAGGAGTATGTAGATAGATTAATGAATGTGGTTAACAAGATAAGGTTGCTAGGGAAGGAGATAACCGATAAAAGAATTGTAGAGAAGCTATTAGTGAGCCTACCCGAGAGGTTTGAATAAAAAATCTCCTCTTTGGAGGATTCCAAAGACTTGTCTCAAATCACCTTGACTGAGCGTGTTCATGCACTTCAAGCTCAAGAGCAAAGAAGAAAGTTGAGGCAGGAGGACAGTGGTGAAGCTGCATTGGTTGTCCTGCAAAAGGGCAAGCCAACTCAAGGAGGAAACAAAAGGCTTGCTGGAGATAAGAGAGGAAAGGAGAAAGCAAGTAGTCAATGGAATAAACCAGGAGGTTTCAGGAGTTTTGCACCATGTTCTCACTGCAAAAAGAAGAACCATGCAGAGAGCAAGTGCCGATTCAGACCAAATGTTCAATGCAGGGCATGTAAACAATTCGGCCACATTGAAAAAGTTTGCAAAAACAAACCACACCAGCCAACACAACAAGCACAGACGGTTGAGGATCTGCAGCAAACTACAGAATCAGAGTAGTTGTTTGTGGCCTCCTACTATGTTGTTCAGTTCAATGCTAGAGCTGGCTGATTGATAGTGGATGTACAAATCATATGACACCTAATCTGGAGAACTTTGTGAAGCTAGACCAAGCATACCAGTCAAGTGTAAAGGTGGGAAATGGTGACTTTGTGAAGGTTAAAGGCAGAGGAAATGTGGATGTGCAGACCTTGACAGGTATAAAAATCATTTCTAATGTGTTGTTTGTTCCTGAAATCAATCAAAATCTGCTTAGTGTAGGACAGATGCTTGAAAGAAATTACACCTTACACTTTGAAAACCAATCCTGCACAATATTAGATAATGAGGGAAATGTGATGATGCATGTAAAAATGGGGGGGAAGAGCTTCCCAGTTGAACTCAAAAAATCAGAATTTCAGGTTATGGCAGTGAATTCAGATGACACAAACCTATGGCATAAGAGGTATGGTCATTATCATTATGTTGGAATTAGACAAATGAAACTTAAAAATATGGTGCATACCTTACTCGAAATAGAAGAGAAGGAGAGTTTGTGTAGAGCATGCCAAATAGGGAAGCTTAGCAAACCTGTTTTTCCAACAAACCAGGCCTGGAGAGTTGCCAAAAAGCTCCAATTGGTACACACTGATGTGTGTGGACCAATGCAGACCCCATCCCTAAGTGGATCCAAATACTTTACATTCAACTAAGGGTGGGAATCTGGAAAACTGACTTGGGCCTTTTATCGAGCAAGTGGCGAACGCGACTTTGGGCTTTGATTTTTGTCGAACAGAAAGTTAGAAATGGCCAAAAAAAATACCCACACAAACTACAACACAAGGAGAATCTATTAGCATAGTCTGATGACACTGATTGCTCTCCAATCAAACGGAAAACAATCGAGAAGATATCTAAAATCGCAAGGTGGCAAGTGTGGGAGGGGCTGGAAAAGTGAGTGATGACAGCAAGTGGGGGTATAGGTTTTGTAGAGGAGGTCTTAGGGAGTCCAACGGTGGTCTCAAAAGTTATTTTGGAGTTTGGTATCAGTCGAAAAAAGCAAAAATCCGACTGCTTGGGCGATGCTAATGTGAGCCTCTTCTTGCTAACATGAACCCACTTTCAGCCCAAAAGAGCATCGACACACGTTATGTGCTAACGTGAGCCACACTACAGTGCAAATTTGAAATTAAGGAAACGATGCTACTTTAAATGTGAGAATTTGGAATAAATGAAACTAGGGATGGGATCTTGCCATTTCGCTAAACCTTGGGTGGAAACATGCAGTTTTCTCTGGTAAATAATGATATATTAGTCAGGGCGGAGCTACGACCACCTTGGGGGTCCACAATTTTTTTTTTTTTTAATTTATATAGAAAATTATCAATTTAGTCCTTATAAATTCATTTCGGCCAACTCAGCTTTAGGCACTTTGGCACTCGTAAATATAACTTCTCACTATTCTTGGCCCCCTCATTAATTGAAGATTACATCTAACTCCCTTTAAATAAATTTCCTTGTTCCGCCCTTGGATTAATTGGTTTAGTAATTACGAGAGGAGAAACCTATTTTTACTATTTTTGTCATTTACATTTTTTATCGAGGGCAATGGAAACAACTTTAACTCATATGATTTTATGGCTATTTTTGTTTTTTAAACAAAAACTTAAACAGTTTTAGGATTTGAATAAGTGACATTACTATGTAGAAAATATTATCTTTTCATACCAAGTCAGTAATTACTATTGTTAGAGTAGGTGCCCTAGAGCCAATCAATTATTGTAAAATTGACTCTGTAATAAATGTTTATTTATCAATAAAAGACATATTCTTCTATATCGTGTAAATCATAATGTTATATGTCCTTAGGATGGTAGAACAATGACGAGGGTATCAAGTGCTTCAAATCTTGATAATGAGAACCCTATGATCACATATGGTGGTCATTCTAGAAACGTCTATAGCCCCGGTATTATTCTAATCAAGGACACATATAATACGGTAAGACTATCATAGTGTTGAATGACCCTTTCGAAAGGCAGCGACTGATCTCACTTGTTAAGGTTGTTTGCCAACAACTTGGTGCAATGCATGAGTGCTTGCTAGAGGCAAATTC